GAATAACAGTATGGGTCAGTATTACATAGGTACAACATTAAACATACATCTTATTGATATCGAGCAGTAACAAAATTATTAAATCTGTCTGTGGCCCCTCTAAACCGATCTACTCGAATATTGCCGGCTCGCAAAGAATAACCGTGATGGACCTCGGTGGCGCAAGGAAGGATGTAACTTATATAGGTTCAGTCCTCCTCGCCCCAGCCATGAACCTAGAGCACAGTTCAGCTCTGGGAACTACGAGGGGTTCCAGCTGAGCCTCACTGAGGCTACATCCATACTGAAGACGGGGGAAGATTATCCTAAGTGCTTTCCGTTGTACTGACTCGACGAGCTCATAAGGTACTCAGGAAGGTATGCCCAGACAGGGGCCGCATACTCCAAAGCATACCGTATTGTGAGCAATAAATAAGCACTAAATCAGTCTGGGGGACTCCTGCCTTCCCAAGCACCCTAAGAGCGTAAAGGTGCTTGCTCGCTTCCTTTACAATGTAGTCAATATGGTTGTTCCAGGAGAGATCTGAAGTAATATAGACACCGAGTAACTTGCAACTATCTACCTGACTGATACTACTGGTTTCATCAACATACTTTAGTCAATTCAGCCAGCTAGACACTAAGCGATTGACGAGAATAGCAAATAGTAGCGGGGCAGATTTTGTGCCCTGAGGGATACCCCCATTGCTTACGATTACAATTGACAAGACAGAATGAATTGTTGCCGTGGGTACGTGGAGAAACTTGGAAACAACGGAACTGTAACTGCCCAACAAAAGGCACATTTGAGAGCATTCACGTGGCTACAAAGTCCAGACCGATGAAATCCCAGAGAAATTTCTAGGAGAGGAAATACGGAGCCCCACCAGCCATTATTGGTCAACACGCAACACGACGTGAATTAGTAATTGCACCGATGCGAGATTGCATTTTCGTCGGTAACGCAGAGCAACCGGAAAGTGAAAATTATCAATCAGATGACGGCCCTAATGATGGTGCTTCATGTGTAACTGATTTGGTCTTTGAGACTGGA